ATCCCTTCAACCACAATCACAAAAACCAAATCTCAACCGAGCAACACCTTTAAAAAAGACAAAAACATAATAATTAAGAAAAGCGACAAAGGCTCGTGTTGTGTCATAAAGAATCGCGCAGACTATATCTCAGAGGCAGAAAAAACAAATAAGTAATCATATACATTACACTAAATTAGACCAACCCATCTTTAAGGACACCGCAACTTTAATAAACAACATCTTACATGAATTGCAGGATAAGGAATACATAGCAGCAAAACAATATGATTATCTGCTAAATCTGATTGCCGACAAAGACATCTCTATACACTACCAAAAATACATAAAAATCAGGAAACAGAATGGTTTATACCTAATAAATTACCCAAGGGACGCCCAATAATATCAGACTGTGACAGCGAATCATACAACGTATCGCAATATATAGACCATTTCTTATTACCCCTAGCATGCCAACACCCATCCCACCTTAAAGACACTAACGATTTCATTCACAAAATCAAACAGTTAAAAGTCCCCGAACACACCATTTTAATATCCATCGACATACAGAGCATGTACACGAACATTGATAATAAAACAGGTATTGAAGCAGTTAGGAAAGCATTTCTTAGGAATCCGCAAGCATCCAGACCAGACGAAGAAATCCTCAAACTACTCGACATTTGTCTGAGGAGGAATGACTTCGCTTTTAACGACCAAGTATACCTCCAGTCTTCCGGAACTGCGATGGGAAAACGATTTGCCCCAAGTTATGCAAACCTCTTTATGGCCGAGTGGGAAAGGGAAGTTCTGCCAACTAGAAAGCGTCCATAGAAATCTGCCACTCTGTCCATTAAAACCAGATTTCTATGGACGCTTTCTAGTTGACGTTCTCATAGTCTGGACGTACACACTAGACGAATTTTGGACGTTTTTCAACATTTTGAACAATCATCATTCATCTGTCAAATTAACCGCAAATGTAAGTCATAACAGCATAGATTTTCTTGACACCACCGTCTTTAAAAGTAGCAACACCAAAAACACTGGCTAACTAGAAACTAAAGTATTTTTCAAAGAAACCGTTACACATCAACTATTGTTCAAGAGCTCCTTTCACCCCAAACATACCTTCTCTGGCATCATAAAATCGTGGAACAAACACGATTTTTTTTTTAGAAAAATCCAATCCGTAGTAGGAAACACACTAATGTGGCTCTCCCCCGAGAGCCTCAAATTTATTTTCTTTTTTCTTCAGAAACAAAAATACCAGAAGCACCATCCAAGGAAGACCATCAGCGCCACCAACACCAAAATACAGTGAAATCGCCTTTGTATATAAATCTAATGTATTGTATGTATTTTTTAATAAAATTGGAAATATCACAAACTGATTTTTCATCATCCTAGGTCAGTGCTTATGTGGAAACTTAACCTCTCCCCCAAATTCTTAAACCTAACCCAGGCACACAGAGGACCAGGCTCCGGGTTACCTATTTAGGGTGTTAGTCTCCAGGTTACCTATTTAGGGTGTTAGTCTCCAGGTTACCTATTTAGGGTATTTTCCGGTATTTAGTATGTTTTCCGTTATTTAGTGTTTTTCCGGTGTTTTCCGGTATTCAGTATAGAATGGAGTTTTCCGCTAGTTTTCCGGTGTTTTCCGGTTGTTTTCCGGTGTTTTTCGGTATATAGTATTGCCGGCCAGAGATACTCGGGACGGTGTCAACTTTATGCACTAGTCCGGGATGAACATCTTTGGGATGAAATTCAAAGGAGACTTAATAACGTCGTACCGAGACCAAACACAGCCGATAGATTGCGCCAGGCGTTTCTGAGAGTGTGGTTTCCCAATGGCGTTCATCAATCGTCTGGTCCACTCACTCCATGTACAGACGCTGCGCTGCTGTTATTGACACTCGCGGTGGACACACCAGATACTGATGTATAGACTGTGTACAGACTCTAAACCTTCTCGTAATGTCTTGGAATTGTGATGAATTAATCACTAATGTGTCAACATACTGTTCACAAAAAATTACTTTGATCCATTTAGTAAGTCGTTTTCTAGAATGATTTGATTTAAGTGTCTCTCTGATTTTAAAATCGTACTGACATTTTTTGTTGTTGTTGTTGTTGTTTAGTATATATCTGCTCAAAACTAATGTTATGCCATCATTTGGTATTCGCATTCAACGACTTTCGTCTGAGGTTGGTATCAGCCTTGACAGTACTGCGAATACCCCTTTACTTTATCGCGGGCTATATCTCCCCCAAAGATCAATTTCGAGCTAACACAGCATAAAAAGAAAGGTACTAGCTTTAGGCCAATGTCTTTCAGTCTCTCTTTCGAGAGCTAATGTCTAAGTATTGTGATTTTGCTCCAAAATAAACAGATGGTTCGAAAGATGGTAATCGGGTACGCTCGGCTACATCTACAGCTTCCATATTTACAGCTGAACTTCAAGTCATTCTTCGGGCGTTGGAGTCCATTCAATCATCATCAATAGTGATAAACTTTAAATTTATACACATTGTTAACGGTCATGAAACGGTCATTTGAAATTTTTATGGACGCTTGAGAGGTAAAGTGAATATCCGATTGACGTTAGATCTTTATATACAGTTGCTTTAAAACATTTTTTGGCCCTTGATCAATCAAACAAATTGAAACAAATCATAATATAATGTTCAAAAAAGTAGGGGATATTCAGAAACAAAACAAAACTGCGGAAATGCACTGCTATTTTTTATTAGAGGTAACCAGTGTATGTTAATAACAGGCCATTTGCCTACACATGAACATAAACAGTTCATATGGGCGGCTTATCTGACGGCCCTATTTCACCCGCAAAGAGATACACCGTCAAAAGTGAAATGGACGTTTTTGATTTTTGTATTAATAATGATTCATTGTCCCACCAATCCTCAGACATTCAGCAATTCGTCATGGCATCCTCCTATTCAACCGTACAATCACGATTTGGGGCAATCTGACCCACTCCTCTTGCAGTGCCACGGCGAATTCTTGCAGTGTTGTCGGTTGACGTTGACATCGACGAACACGTCTCCCGATCAAATTAAACGTAACACACTAAAACAAAGATACGCTAAACAGCAAATCTTATGCAAGAACCGACAGGAACGCTAACATGGAAAGGATAAACCAGCAAGCGGCAGTTTTCATCAACCCTTCCTTGAAGTGTCAAATTTGACAATGAACCCCTCCCACGTGTATGGCACTATTGCGTGTCGCACATGCAGCTCAGTGGTTCTCTTTTTTTGATGAGTATAATATCTGATAATTACTTAACGGGTTGTTACTCGTAATTGGACAAAAGAAAAAAATTGTTTTTGATCGAAATGTTGGAAAATCACCATAACTGTAAGTAAAGATGTCATTTTATATTTGTCCATCAAATTCCCTCGTGGCCAGATTGAGAATCCGCGCTGATCAAGATTTTATGAACCAAAGGAAGTAACTCCATTTTGTGACCCCTTTCCAAATAGGGTTTAGACCAATTAGATTCTTGATTGTAATTTTGAAATGTTTCTTTATTTGCTGTTTCTTTCCTGTTGAATATGATTTAATATTCGGGTTTGAAGAACTCTCGTACTGCGAACTGTATTATTTGAAGTATAGAAATAAACAGTGATTAATATTGAAGTTTGGTGACTGTTTGACAACCACAAACTCCAGTAAATCATCTGCCTTCATAGGTTTTACAGTATCTTTTGTACAGTATGGGGTTTATTGAATTCCATAAATGATATAAAGTTAACAGGTATTGTACAATTCCTGCTTTTTAATATTTGACAATGGGGGCCGATATACCAGAGAACATATTGCACAGTCTGAACAACGTCTTTACCAAATGTTGAAAAAATATTCATTTAGCAATACTTTTTTGATTGGTTTATGATTTTGGCTGTAATCTGTTGATCCTATTTGAGGCCATACAGAAAAAGCATTTGTTTTGATGGTGGAATTTCGGTCTTTTTACTCTCTAATGTTTGGTTCTGTGCAGCCAATTACAATTCTTGTGAAGTTTCCTAATCCTGGCTTTTATATGTAGCTCATCACCACTGCCAAAATTGGGACCACTTTCCTGCGTATTTTCAGAGTTGTATTGTATTCTCTTCAGTTTAAAATATCTGCCGTATAGTTCGCAGACTTGACCTATTTCTGCATCCATGCACGTCAAGCGCTGAAAATCACCGTTTTTTGTGTCACTGAGAAATGTTCCCGGAATTTCTCCTACGGTGCTCGATTTGTTCACCGTCACGACATTGTCCAATGTAAGTCAGGAATGTCCCCTCTTCAATTAACACCGATATTAAAACTGTTATTGTAGTCGTGACTAAAGGGATAATCATTCTTTAATTTAATATCCATTTGATCTACTCAAGTGTCACCATCGACAAAAATAAGTGTTGCTATATCTCACCGTGTGGTAACGTATATTTTCGGAAACAATTGTGCATTGGCTTCTATGATTCGCTGGCCCGTCTCGCCTTCACGCGAATTTTTACTAGTTCTTCACAAATCCTCGAACTCATACCTGTTAGTCGTGAAAATAGGCCAATTTCATAGGCCAAAGAAACTTTCACCACATACCATAATAACATCTTACTCATACCTATGTCCATAGGCTACAAATAATCATGTGAATCAATAGAATGTGGCAAAATGTACATCGTATAACTGAGCTGGATAACTATGTCAAAACGGGAGATAACTCGTATATATAAACAAGACAACTTGGAAAATCGCGACGTAGGCATACTTTAAACCCACATACATCTTCTACCAAGACAATTACAAGAGACTTCAATTTTTTTTAGTAGCATAATTTTTCATCATTTTTTGAAAAGGGAAATAAAAATCACCCATGCGTCGGATTTTCACAAGAAGGCGGTGCCGAGAACCCATTCGTTTTATTTGAATGGTCTACTACTAATATGGCAAAGTTATACGGCACCCAAATAAATCATGTCAAATTAGTATAAAATCTTACCTTTTCATGAAGATTGATAACTTCTGGATTTTTATACTGAAAATATACCAAGCAATGAAGTTAAATAAAATAATAAAATATCAATATAAAATGATTGTTTCATGTCTTCTTTTTGGGGGGGGGGGGGGTTGTTGTTGTTGTTTTTTTTAAGTTGCCTAAAGTGCACCCTATACGCTTATGTAGTGATTTTTATACTGAAAATATACCAAGCAATGAAGTAAAATAAAATAATAAAATATCAATATAAACTGATTGTTTTTTTGGTTTTTTTTTTTTAAGTTGCGTAAATTGGCACCCTATGCACTTATGTAGTGATGCACAATGCAAGAAATTGATATACTCTTAAAAAAAAAAAAGAAATGCATAGTGACATTTCGTCATCGGTATACCCTCGCCCTGACATCGCCTCGTTGCAACAGGAACCGCAACTCGGCGCTGAACCAAACTATTCTCAAACGTTGCGGTGGCCATACCCTGTGTGTCTGAACCCATTGACGTCGGATTTGAAATGAAATTAAATGGGGTTTAACGTCCTACTGTTCTGCATATGCCATACAGTGTGCTATGAGGGAAATTTTGCCCGGGCAGCGACACTATCGCCTTCTCTTATATAGAATTCCAACTGCCAAGGGATCTTTTACGTGCATTCTAATGTATACACGGGACCTCGGTTCTTCGTCTCATCCGAAGGACTAGACAGCTGTCCTTGTCAGGCCGGAAAATCTAGATGAACTTTCTCAGCCAATGCAGGGATCGAACACCCGACCTCCAGACTAGCGAGTCAGCGTCTTACCCACTTAGCCACGTGATCCCCTCACGTCGGATTTGACAGTGTCGGGATATTTCAAAGGAGCAGTTCTAACGGGACGTCTGGCTCATAATCCAGTTTCACGTTGGCGTTTACCAACTAGACAGCTGTCCTTGTCAGGCCCTCCGTCCTGCATCACTGACAAGGGGGAAACACGCCGGAAAATCTAGATGAACTTTCTCGGCCAATGCAGGGATCGAACACCCGACCTCCAGACTAGCGAGCCACCGTCTTACCCACTTAGCCATGTGATCCCCTCACGTCGGATTTGACGGTGTCGGGATATTTCAAAGGAGCAGTTCTAACGGGACGTCTGGCTCATAATCCAGTTTCACGTTGGCGTTTACGGACTGTCTGGTCTGAAATCCTACGCCGTCCAGAAATTGCTGCTGCAGTAGAGGTCGCTGTTGTGAACCGTTTCCGCGAATGACGTAACCGGATGTGGCGATCCAGGGCAGATGGTGTGACTCTTGTTTGGCGCGAGTTCGAGCGGTCACGTGTTGAACTTCGCTGTCGGTGAGAGTGAATGAATGAAATGTTGTTTAATGGCACGTCAGCTCCAACATATTGTGAGGTTTCTCGGTACAAACTAGAAACAAATAATCACAATATTATCTATATATACATAAATAAAAACAAATATCACAGTAAATATCAGATAAAAATAAATATAAACTTTATGTATATATATTTAAAACATGAAAGAGAAAATCAGATATATACAATTAAAATTTTCGATAAAAATTTGTCTCTTTTAAAAAATCTAGCGCTTTACAATATAGACCCGGTTGGGCAAACAACTGATGTACTGATTGGCAACGATAATACCGTAATCTTGTATCTTTGAGATTCTTGCACTCATTCAAAATGTGCTTAACTGTCAAAGGAACATGACAGTGTTCGCATTCTAGTTGAGGCTCTCGCTTTAAGATGAAAATATGTGTTAAAAAAGTATGGCCAATCCTCAAGGAGAGACTTTATGTGATGAAGTTTATTTGTGCCTGCAAGATCGAAGACCGTTGCCAGCGGCCATAAATGTAATGATCAATACAATGTTTAAAATCTGCTTGATCATTCCACTTTATATCAACATGGCTGGAGCCAGCAAAAGACGATGTCTTTGCTGATTAACTCATAAGATAGTAGCAGACAGTAAATATCTGCTACCAGTGGGTACTCAAGCTGTTTATTGTTAATTGCTTGGATGACGTGCTTAAGTATAGTTGATGATTGAATGAACTCCAAGGCTGAAGTATCGCTTGCAGCTCAGCTGTAAATATAGAAGCAGCAGGAGGGAGACGAACAGAAATGGTCTTAGATGGCGTCACAATAGCCGAAGCTACCCGATCATTATCTTTCGAACCATCTGTATATATTGGAGCATAATCACCATACTTAGACCATAGCTCGCTAAAGAGAGACTGGAACACCGTGGAGCTAGTATCTTTCTTTTTCTTCTTAAGAGGAGATATAGCCCACGGTGGTGTCCTAAAGAAAGGCGTATTCGCAATACTGTCAAGGCTGATACCAGCCTCAGACAAAAGGGGTTGTATGCGAATACCAAATGGTGGAATAACTTTAGTCGTGAGCAGATATAAAGGCTCATCATATGGTCTAAATATGGTGTTGATTTTGTAAAGATGCTATTTTCGTAGCATACTGCAGGGCCAGTTTATCACGTCCATTCAACAACGAGGGCCCGTGCGCCGCGACGTATAAACTGTCCACTGGAGATGTACGAAATGCTCCTAAACTGATTCTAAGTCCTTGGTTGTGTATGGTGTCGAGCTCTTTGAGATAAGACTCGCGGGCAGACCCATACACAATGCACCCATAATCCAGTTTTGATCTAACTAATGCTCGATATAATCGAAGCAAGACCTTAAGATCTGCTCTCCAAGTCAGTATTTGATGAGACTCTCAATATGTTGGGGGATTTCAGACATTTCTTTTTAAGGCTTTTTATATGGGGGATAAATGATAATGATATCAGCCCCAGAAATTTGGTTTCATCCACAACTGGAAGGCGGTTGCCATCCAAGAAAAGTTCTGGATCTGGGTGTAAACCTCGTTTCTGACAGAAATCCATTTTCGGTTGCCCATTGTTTAAGTGAATTGAAACAAAGCTGCAACTTACGTTCGATTATCCGCATGTCTGTAGAACCATAGCACATCTGAAAGTCGTCAACATAAAGAGCACCGTTTGTACCTTGTTTAAGGCACGCTTGGACCGTGTTAATATTTATAGGAAAAAGTGTTGGTGATAAAATACTTCCCTGTGGAACTCCCATTTCTCGAGAAATATTGATGCCAGTCGTACATTAAATGACCTATCTTCCAGGAAATTTTTTAATGAAGATAGGTAAGCGACCTCGTAGGCCGAGGTTATGGAGGTCGGGCATGATACCATGTTTCCACGTGGCTTTCTCCAGATCAAAAAAATATTGCAACTAAATATTGCTTCTCGAAGAAAGCGTCCCTGACGATCGTTTCAAATCTGACGAGATGACCAAGATTGCTCCTTTTTCTAAAACATATTTTATTGCAAAAATAATATTTACAAAGGGATAAGAACAATTTATAACAAATTATGAATCTTCTCCCAAAATAACAATCAAACTTTTATATAAAATAGTATGGCGAATTGATTTTTAATTTAACTAACATAAATATATGTACATCTATTTACAAAACATCCTTGTAAATTATATTATTGGTACATTATTATAGTATTTGTTTTTAATTATTAATCAAAACTAACATTTTATTTAATTTTTTTGATAGTAGCGATGCATCATGTAGAAATGTTTCGTGTAATTCAGTGCTCCTATGGGACCGAAATCCACACTGGAGGTCAGTAATGAGGTTGTTTGACTCAAGGTACCAAACAAGCCTTCGATTGATCAATCTCTCCATGGTTTTGCAAATGCAGCTATCGGACGATAGTTGGTAGGATTCGTATGATCTTTACCCGGTTTAGGGATGGGAATTATTGTGGCTTCATGCTACGAAGGGGGGGGGGGAATTCCCATCAACCCAAATCCGGTTAAAAAGATCCAATAAAATTAAAAGAGTGAAAAAAGGTAAATGTTTTAGAATTTAGTAGTGTATTTCATCTGGACCAGTTGCAGTATCCTGAAGTTCTGCAATGGTATTATCAACATTTAGATGGTTAACTGATAATGCACTACTTTTACCTTTAACCCTACGAATCCTATCCCATACCGATTTTGATGTTGTACGGGAATTGATCCTTTGAGACATAACCTTGCCATGAAGACTTCTTTCCTTGACGTATGGTTCTACGGGCATTCGCCCGGACCATCTGGTATGCCGCAATATTCTCCATGGAAGGATGGTTCTTTAGTCATCTTAGTATACGACCACGCTCTTCTAGAACGGATTAGCAATCGTCATTATACCATGGCTTATTGAAAAGGTTTGGTTCAGTCGTCGGTATTGGAATCGCCCGCGCAGCTACATCTTGAAGAATTGAATGGAATAAGGCCATCATCTGCATCTTCTTCCTCCTTTGTATCAAAAGAGAAGAGACACAAAGATTCAAATAGAGCCCAATCCGCCTTATGCAACTTCCACCTCTGGGGTCTTTCGACCTGAGAGGGACTGTTATTATCAATCAAGATAGGAAAGTGGTCACTGCCACATAAATCTTCATTTACTCTCCATGTAATATCCTGAAACAGGACCGGAGAGCAAATGGTGAGATCGAGGGAAGAAAAAGAAGCCGTGGCAGGATGTAGATAAGTAGGGGAGTAACCATTTAATAAACACAAATTATTAATGTTAATGAAGTCCGCTATTTGTGTACCTCCGTTGTTATCATCTGGACTACCCAAGAGAGAATGATGACCATTGAAATCTCCCGTAATAATAAACGGGAGAGGAAGTTGTGCAACAAGGTCATCAAGATCTCTGGGATTAAGATGTAAACTAGGTGGAAGATATACAGAGCAGAGTGTTATAGAAATATCCAAAGTCACCCTAACTGCAACTGCCCGTAAAGGGGAGTTGAGGGTGACTTGACTTTGAGGGATATCTCCATTAATAATAATAGAAACACCCCTATGAGGGATGATGGTAAACAACAAAATGTCTAAAAGACAAAGTGTCAGAATTCCGTAAAAAAGTTTGCTGTAAACAAATATCTAAAGGATTATGCTTTTGAATTAATAGTTCAACTTCATTAAAATTTGGTTTTAAACCACGG